TATATCGTCATCGGAAGAAGAAGATCCCGATTATGGCTTCCTAGAAAAATAATCAGAATTACAACAGCATGACAACAATATGAGATCATCATAGCTGACATCACCCATGATATCAACAAGGTATTTTTGTCATATTGTTGTCAAGTTGATTATTAAACCTGCAGATATACAGTTAAAATGTAATATATAAAACACAGTTGATCATATGAACGAAATGCAATAAAATATATTAGGTGGTACAGCCAACCATAAGCACATAAAGAGTAATATAAAAACTTGATATAAAATAGTAAAAATATTACAAGCTAATAAAATCGAAAATAATAAACTAGAGGGAGTAAGCTCTAACCAATTCTTGAGGAAGAGAACTAAGGAAGAAGTGTTGTATTGTGTTATTACAAGCAGGAGCGTATTCAGAACTTTTGGTAAGCGCTGTCAGATTTGCATAAATAAACAAGTAATAAGTATTACTACCTCTATTTTAATTTAGATGGTGTAGTTTGACTTGTCACAGTTTAAAGGGAAAAAAGAAGACTTCTGAAATATGTGGTCTTAAAAGATGAGATAACACATGAGATAAAGGAAAGAATCTTTCTTTCTCTCTTTTCTTCTTTCTAGGGGCAAAAGCTTTATATAGCCATGACATTTTTATTGCTGTAAAATCTTTTCATTAAGGGTAAATTGAGTAAAATGAAAAATTAAAGTTAAATTATTTTCAAATATAAAAATGTGTCATTCTTTTTTTAACGAACTAATCAAAAAAGTGTGTCATTTTAATTGAACCAGAGGGAGTATCTAATATCATTTTCCCACAAGTTGAAAGCTTAGGCCCAATGATTTAGTTGAATGTTATTGCAAATGGAGGTGTAGGTTCAACTTTCCTTAGCCTCACATTTTTAACAAAAATGCTTGCTCACAGAATTTAAAAATAGAATGTCTAGGTCCAGCCTCGAATCTACGACCTTTACAAGCCCAAATATGAGTTTGACCAGTGGACCAAGCAATACTTTATCAGGAAGCGATGTCATTATTATATATTACTTTATTTTTGTAGAATATTAATAAAAATATTTAATATTTTTTTCTGGCAAAGCGGTGTCGGATGACACCACTTCTATCCATGTACGTCCGCCCCTGATTACAAGTGAGGGGGCTATTTATAGTAGTCTGCTACAGTGATATAATTGTTGATATCATGGATGATTTTGAGTTCATATATATAGTACATTTAAACCCATTAAATATAAGCTCCATCTGCCTTTGGTTACAAACGAATAGCTATTGTAGTGTTTGTTGTTATTTGATAGGGAAATTGCATCTCAGGAGTTTGCAGAGTATTGTGAATAAAATATTTGGGAAATAACATTTAGACGTCTACTAATTTATCCACAGTAGGATTTTAGGTCATCTGAGAGAGCCTTTAAACTAGAGCAAGCATGCAATGAGATCGCATTTTGAAGTAAAGAGGTCTGTATTTAGCATCTTGTGTTAGTTCCCAGAACTCTATCAAACTCACACTAATAACAACACCAACAAATACTAGCTACTGCATGATGTAAACTAAGGGTCCACCAAACTGTATAGAGAGTCTAGTTCTCTATCAGTTCCCACAGTACACAACGGTACATAAAGAATACAATGATATTTACGTGAAAAACTCGCAGCTCACGGGATTAAAAATCAGTACCTACACTGGTAGGAGTTCAACTTCACTAACTGAGCAAACTTTAGATTGCTACCGATTGCAAATTACGAATTAAACTCTTTATCCCTCACCTTCTTACATTAACTATATTGTAAGTTTCTTTGTAATAACTCTATTACAAAGCTACACACTTGGCTAACTCTAGTCAAAACAACCACAATGATAATGGTTTAAAAGATGTCCTACGAATGCTTCTGAAAAGTTGTATAGAAATTATAATGTAATAACATAAGACAAAGACACAACAATACTAAAGGACACACGACATTATCAATACTGGCATCTGACCCTTTGTCGTGTTGCTATTTTGTTCTTCAATGCCTTAGAGGAATTAAGGGTGGATGCACACTTGGGAGAGATCTTTGTTTATGTTTTGCAAGTGTTAAGTGAAATCCCTTGCCTCATATTGATAATATATGTGTGTGGTCATCAAGGATGATGCAAGGGAGTGTCTAGTACACTGCACACTTCAACAGTGATGTTGTACTTGTTGTGTGTACAGTGCAGCAGCTTTAACAACTATTAGAGTTGACTTGTAGTGTGACTGGAGGAACTGCTCCTTATTTATCCCTGTTGCTGTTCCCTTAACTGATTTCATTGAGAGTTGAACAAGACATTTGATTAGTTGCTCTGCACACTAAAGAACCAATTATATCAGGTTCCCTATCTGGTTCTCAGTTTGTCAAATCATCAAAACAAAGGCATATAACTTATCAATTTTTCCCTTTTTATGATGACAAACTCAGAATTGATATTCTCCTATGAGAATCAGATTTCACATTGTTCCCCTATGAATCAGCCATATTCCCCCTGAGAACCTGTTTCTTCCCTTTTAATTTTCTTCCCCCTTTTGGCATCATTAAAAATATTAGACAAGTAAATGAAAGAAAAAGTCCAGTAAATTTAACTCATGCCACTTGTGTGCACACAACATAGCTAAAAATAGAACGCAAGAGTATAACAATGCATTAAATAGACGAGGATTCTCATTAATAAGGGAAAGAAGAAAACCGTAGTAGTAGTACCATAATTACACACTTATACAATCCAAACAAAAACTAGAGTACCACAATCAATAAGGAAGGACAACAAAAAGACAAGGCAAGATTAAGAAGAAACTAGCAAATGGGTAGGATAGGGGACATTGGATGGGGAACGGAAGGAATAGGGAGCAAGGGCCTGATGAGGCTATCCATACGAGCATTAGCAACCCTTTGATCGTTGATCAACTGCTCCTTTAGGTTCTCTACTTGGTTCCTCAACTCTGCATTTTTGGCTTTTAGGCGGACAATCTCTTCTCATTGAGCATTGCTGGAACCAGGTTCCTTGCTGGCCTGATTGAGCTTAGACTCAAGAATAACATTTTGTGCCTTCATATACTTGATTTCCTCATTTGCAGCATTTTGAGCATCAATGAGCTGAGAAATAGTGGAGCTGCTGCCTATACCTCCCTTCTTGTCCACACACTCACACTCCTCCAAGGTGGTCATGGTGAACATTTGCTTGGGAGTTCTCACTGATGCTCTTCCCAAAGGGACCTCAAAGCGTTCAAGTACCTTAGTGAACAGGAACCCATAAGGGAGACCATGATTTCCATCTTTGAAATCTGCTACCTTCTTCATATGCTTAATCATAATTCCAGGTAGATTAATGGGAGTGTAGGAGTCCAGTTCTTCCAGAAGAACTAGGTACGCTATAGAGGCCATGGATCTCCTCTCAGCCCAAGGTAGCAAGAACTTGTTCACCAACTCAAATAACAGTTCGTATTCTGGCAGAAGTGCTTTCTTGTGCACTTATTCTCCTGTTTAAACAGCTCGAGGCTTGATGATTATTTTCTTAAAATCTGGGGAACAGGTTCCCTCTACAGTTGACAGCCCTTTAGTAGTCACCCCAAGAATCTCCCCAAGCAGAGCCTCATCTATCACAAAATCTTTTCCATTTGTCTTAAAACAAAATTGTGTCCCCCTCTACCATAAATATTTCAGCATAAAAACTGCAAACCTCCTCTGCATACACTTTTGGACTCTAGATGTCAAAAGGATGAGTCCACTTTTGGAAGTCACAAATCTCCACCAACTTCCTCTTGCCTAAGCGACCAAGAATCTCATAATAAAACACTCTCCCCTACAAGACTTTCTACTTCAAATTTGCTCTCCGTTACAACTCAGATAGTTCTATTCTTCCTCTCTTTGAGGAACCAGGTTCCTCATTGCTACTTGGCCTCTTTCTGAGAGGCCTCTTCTTTT